CCTCCAGGGCCCTCTCTTATTAATGCCGCCCTTGTGGGCTGACGCGGCTGCGTTACGGAGCTTCATCCCGAAGGCGGGCCTTCTCCCGGCTCCGCAGCGATAGTTTCTCCGGCTTTGCGGAGTCTTGAGAGGGTGGCAGGGAGGGAGAGACCCCCAGGGACCTGGTAGCGATCTTACGGCGCGCCCCTCCCTAGCCCGCCTCCCTCTGCCGCCGGGGATTGGGGGGGCAGGTCCTGGTTAATGATGATGATTCAATCATCGGCGCCTGCGGAGGCCTGGGACAGACTAATGCAGAGCAGATGCCTTAGGAGGAGGGGTGGCCGACTGGGACGCTACCGCACACAGACTCGCCGTGCGCCTGCGGTAGCATAGGCCCAGCAGGGAACTTTAGGAAGTCTCGGCGTCCGAGAGCGTGTACACCACCGCCTAGTGTACAGTGGGATTAAAAAACAAGGATAAATTTACCGCGTGGTATTAACACCGAATGTAGCTGGAGACTGAGAAGGAGGGAGACATCTCAATGGGGACCTCCTCGGAAAGGCTTTGGTTAGGGGGTGATTTAGTGGGGGGGTGGTGGTGGTGGTGGTGGCGGTGGTGGTGGTGGTGAAGAAGTGTGGTGAAAACAGAAAAGCAAAGCGCAGTGCTGGGGAATAACCGCAAAGGAACCGGAAGGAGACCAAGGTGTGGATCGGAGAGTGGTGATAGAAGCTGCCTCTGAGGAATTGCGACTTGAAGCCGGAGGCCAATAGGGATCTAGCCGACTTTTTTTGACGAGAGGGAGTTACCCTACAAAAGAAACATTTTTCTCCTTTTTATTTTCAGAGTGAACTGGAGCGAATATGCGTCAAGAAGTTATGAGATAACGGATTTTTTTTATTATAGTAGTTTATTTTTACATCATTTTGTGCCTTTTCCCATGTCAGTTGTAATCTCTGTGGGCATCCCATCAGCAATTCACCCGCGTGCCATCACCATAGTCCTGTGCACTCCCCACCCTACACTTTTTGATCCCATTCCCCACTCCACGACCCCCCCCCAATGTCTCTGGTGTATATAGTTTATTATTATCCCCTCCCCCGGGTTCTTTAAAGATGACTGATTTTTTAATCAACTTCTCACTAACATACAATAATTACTGCTCAGTAATATGTACTTCTTGCTACAGTCACTGCCCAAGACACCACCACCTCTCATCTGTATGGTTGCATTGTTTCTTGCCTAATTTCCCTGCTTCCATTTTCTCCTCTTTAGCTTATTCTAAACATTGCAGCTTAGAGTGATTCTAGTAAAACATGAATAAAACAGGATACAAAGAAACTTTCTTCAGTTCGATGTTTATTATTGTGATTGTATGTGTACTTAGATATATGTGTGTGTGTATATATATATAGGCTTTGAGCATATACATGTCCAAACTATCAAATTGTACACTTTAAAATTATGCAGCTTATTGTAAAAACAAAAATTTTGTTCAAAATCTTCCAATACCTCCCTTTTCAACCAGAATAAAAGCCAAAGTCCTTACAGTGGCCATCAAGGCCTTGCATGGCCTCTGAGTGACTCAGTGTCTCCAGCCACATTTGATCCATCACTTTTCCCCACAGATACATGAGAATACATTTGCACTGTGTCCCCAACTTGAAATCCTTAGGTATCTATATAGCTCGGTTCTTCCTTCAGGACAATCTCCCATGAGCCCTTCTGTGACTGCTCTAGATAATCACAGTCCCCTACCTTAACACTTCTCTCTTTTCCTTATTTTTCTTCTGAGTAGTTACTATTACTTAATAGCTGTATAGTGTTTTTTCAGTCCTCCCCCCAGGTAAGCTTCCCTATGACAAGAGCTTTATATTCCTGTTGTATTTACAGATGTATCTTCATTGCTAGGTACATAGTAGGCATTCAATATAAATTTTCTGAATGAACAAATGAATCAATATAGGTGTTGGTAAGTATAGCCTAAGGGTTTTATCAGTGGAAATGGAAAAGAAGGACTGTATATGAAATGTTTCAAAGAAAGCATAATAGGAAATGAATGATGAGTTTGGAAAGCGAGCATGTCCTCCAGCCTGTTGGACTTAAAGTGACTACAGCAAAGGCAGGTAGAACTGACAGGAAGGCCTGAACATTAGGGCTGGAACACAGGCATCAGAACCAGGGATGGAGATCTGAGAGTGGAAGAAGCAAAGTCAGGAGGAAGAACAAACAGTGACCATGAAATTCCAAAGACAGAGAATAAGACAATACGACAGAAGCCAAAAGAAGGAATTTTTTCAAGAGATAGTTTGTGGTGCTCTCTAAGAGCCAGTGTAGTAAACCAGTTTACAGAGGGTTAAAGAATAAATGAGGAAATGAAAGCAGTGGGTGTGGACAGTGAAAAGGAAATAAAAACACTTTCTTTGGAAGAGCCAAAGATTTTGTTCAAGTAATAGAGACCTAAGACAGTTGGGGGTAGGGAAGGACTAGTCAATGAAATGATGATTGGGGTGGAGGGTGGGATGAGGGTGAGGACCATCTCAAGGGACTAATACGCAGGAAGGAAGGAAAGAACCAGGAGCACAGGCTGGGGACTTGGTCTTTTCCGTGAAATTGCAGGCCTGAAAGTATGAAAACTTGAAGAGAGGGGAGGGCTGTCATTATCATGCATGTAGAATACAGTGAGACATTCCAAGATGGGTAACCCCAGGACCTCCACCTTAAACATAAACTAGTAGGAGCTAGCCTTTTCTGAATATCAGGGTATCAGCCAGATGGAGGTAAGCAGAGAAATTTCTAGGACTGTGGTGGACAGAAATTGATGTCCTTTATTATTTAAATAGCTCACTGAAATCTCCACCCCCTTCCCGATGATTTGTGTGTATCACTTGGGCTTGTGGCTATCTCCTCAAAGGGGTTGGGCAATCCATGGGTAGCAGTACCATCTGTGATGACCTCAGAAGGCAGGGTGTACAGTTAGCAAATAGATCTGTACAGGGCTTCCTTTTTTTCATTCACTGATCCACTGATTAATTCAAGGATTTATTCAACCACATTAAAGTCCACCTTGTCCTCAGAGATTCACCTCTCAGGGTGAAGAAAGGGACTAGAAAACCAACCTGTAGTCCCACTTCCTTCAACAGGCTTTATTTACCTTGCCATCATCCTAGGCACTGTTCTCATTTGGGGGATCCAGTCCTCGAGGCTTCTTAAAATTCTGCCTGAACAGCAATGGTTTTATGCTCCCTCGCTGTCCCACCACTCAAATGCAGAAAAAGGATGCTTAGATTTCTGTGAAGGATTAGCACTGGTGATAAATGTTTGTGCTCTCTGCCATGAAATAAACACAGATGCCAAATAGGCAAGGACAGCACCCCACTACTTCTTCAGGAGGGCTGTCAGCTGGACAGAAGGGCTGGAGAAATCAGCTGATGGAGATGATCAAGGCTGAGGAAAGATGTCACACAATAGTATCCTCATCCCTGCAGAGGTTCACCACCTTCAAAATGAGGTTTTTAAAAGGGGGCTCGTGGTGATGGTGAGTGCTTTAGGTGGGGAGAAAACCCACTCCCTTCTTTCTCTTTTTTATGACCCTGCCCAGATGCCCAATATCATTCCTAGCTTCCCCCGAGGGAAAACAACAACAACAACAAAAACCCTCACCCTGCCCCAGGCGCCAGGCTGCCAGCCCATCTGCTGAGGGGAAAGGAGGGAGCAGTCTCCCAAGGGATTCTGGAGAATCAAGTGGAAGATCCCTGCTCCCAGGGAGCCCTATCTTACTAGACTTACAAGACATTTCAGCTCACAAGGGCAATGTCTGAGAGGAGCTGAGCACTGGAGTGGGCTGGGGTCGAGGGGCTAAGGCTGGCACAGCAGGGCGGGGTCCTTTGGTCACCACGTGCTCAAGGCAGGCCGAGCTGCAAGTTGGTGCCCGCCAGCTCCGGGATGGTAGCAAAGGCCCCCTCCCCGCGCCCAGTCTCACCGGCTCAAAGGCGCCAGGGCCCCCCCGGGGCCGGGGCGGGCCGGGGAAGGTAATGTAATTCTGACCCTGCTAACCCGATTATGGCAGCCTGCACCGGGCCGGGCGGCGGCGGAGGCGGGTCTAAGGCGCAGGGGCCCGCCCGGCAGGGGTCCCATCCCGAGGAGGGATGTAGAGTTCACACACTCCCAGTTCCCGTGTCCGTGGCCAGAGGTCACAAGGTCACCTAGCGACTAGGCTTTCCCTACCTTCCTTCTCAAACACTCTCTAGGCACAGTTTCTGGGGCTGGGGCTGGGGAAGATATCTGTGGGAAATTAGGCGGCCGAGACCTTCCGGAGGTTTCATTTAGGCACCACATGTCGCCTGTGGCGATTTCGTCCTTCCACGTTTGGGGTGGGGAGGGATGTGTGAGAACAGACTTCCTAGGCACCGAGTGGATGGGCAGAGTACCGCTTCGGTGGTCGGTCCCCTATTGAAAACAGAACGCCAGGCCCAAGCTCCCACCGGCCAAAGTTAGCACAGGTTGAGCCACGGGGACGCTTTTCACCAATTGCAGAAATCAAAATCTTTTCACCAATTTCAGAAATCAAAATTCTAAGAATCACGAGACACCCAGTTACTGGAACGCCCAGAAGGAGCGAGGGAGCCTGCTGGAGTGGCGGGAGTCAGGGGGAGCGGTGCACCAGGACCGCCAGCCCGCGAGTTGCTTTCCCCCGCCCTAGCCCACCGGCCGCGCCCTGCCACCCCCTCCCCACACCTGTCCTCTTCCCGGGCCTCCAACGCGCCAGGCGCCGTTCCCCAGCAGCTTCCCAAGACAGCCAGGAAGCCACAACGAGATTTGGTCTTCGAGGGCACTTAGGCCGGCGCCACAACGAATCCGGGATTCGGCAGGCAGGACCCATCGAGAGGCGAAGAGTGGGGGCTGTGGGAGGAGGCACCTGCGAAGGAAGCCGGTGAGGCCAAGGGAGCCCAAAGCCGAGGCCGGTAAGGATGGAGTTGCGGAGCGCGTCCGGGCTGACTCAGCGACCAGTGGCCAATGCCCTGGCCCCTCCCGTGCTGAGCCTGGTTCCTAACACCCTCGCCGCCTCCCTCACAACCTCACCATTGCCCGCCGGCCAGACTTCCCAGAGCTTGGCGCAAACAGGCGTCTCTTTCCCTTTAACGGGTCCGGCCCCGCCCCTGCCCTACCCCCAGGCCCTCTGCCCACCCCAGGCTGATCTGTCAGTCACTGCCCCAGCCCGCGCCCGTCAACCTTCTCCACCCTGGACTCGCTCACAGCCGCCGGCAGCCCAGCATCCATCTGCGCTTCAGAACCAGCAAGGACGCTCCTGGGGCCCCTGCAGGTCGCGCTCCCCCGGGATGCGAGTCCCTGCTCCGACGCCCGGCAGCGGCCGGCACGGGTGCGGCTATTCTGGACGCCCTGGGATGAAGCTGTCTTGGGGGCCCCGGCGCCCTGCGGTGGCCAGACCCGCAGGCCCCTGAGGCCGCCGCCCCGAGCGCGCCGCAGCTGGGCTCCCGGAGCTGCCTGGTGCGCTTTCCCCAACAGTGGCATCTCCTGCTGTCCTTCCTGACTCGGACCCATGGAGCCAGCGGTGCTGGCCTCGCACAACCACCCGCACCACGAACCAATCAGCTTTGGCATTGATCAGATCCTGAGCTGCTCAGAAACCCCCGGGAGCGGCCTAGGCCCGGGTCGTGCGGGCCAGGGCCATGGGGAGAGTGCGGCATTCTCGGGTGGATTTCACGGAGCCTCAAGCTACGGCCCCGCGGGCTCTCTGACACCGCTGCCTGGCAGCTCCGGCGTGGGTCCGGGCGGTGTGATTCGCGTCCCGGCGCACCGTCCTCTGCCTGTACCGCCGCCCGCGGGAGGCTCGCCTGCGGTGCCTGGACCCTCGGGCTTGGGCGGCGCCAGCGGCCTAGCCGGACTCACCTTCCCATGGATGGATAGCGGCCGGCGCTTTGCCAAGGACCGGCTCACAGGTGAGGTTGCCCGACCCCTCCAGCTTCATGCCTCACGCTAATCTCACTTCCCCACTTTTGATCCTTCAGCTCCAACTCCAGGTCCCCGTTAATACACCTCCCCCTGCCCCAGGCCCCCAGACGGTCCCACAAGGTGCTTCTCCAACACGTATCTCAGACGCGCTGCTCAGAAGCGTTGCAGAGAGGGCAGCCGTCGAGGCCCAGGCTCGTGGGAGGGCAAGGTGAAAGTTATGGGGGACGTCGCTGCCTCTTCCAAAGGGGAGGGTCTTTTCTTCCGAGGTCCTTCTTGTCTGGACGCAGCCCGAGTTTGGGGCTCCTGGTAGGTCCAGGTACGGGAGCTTTCAGCCCAAGCAGTTCCACTTTCAGTGTGACACCTCGGTCACCCCTCCAGCTGTGCCCTGTTCTTTCTCTCTCCCTGTAGCCGCGCTTTCGCCCTTCTCTGGGACGCGCCGCATAGGGCACCCCTACCAAAACCGGACCCCGCCGAAGCGGAAGAAGCCGCGCACGTCCTTCTCCCGCTCGCAGGTGCTGGAGCTGGAGCGGCGCTTCCTGCGCCAGAAGTACCTGGCCTCGGCCGAGAGGGCGGCGCTGGCTAAGGCCCTGCGCATGACCGACGCACAGGTCAAGACGTGGTTCCAGAACCGGCGCACCAAGTGGCGGTGAGGCGCGGGGTGGAGACGAGGACCCGCGGGCTGGGCCAAACGCGGGGAGGGTGAGGGACCGCGGGCCTGGCCAAGTGGCGGGGAGGCGCGCTGCGGGCGAGGGCTGGCCTCGCTGACCCGCGTCTCCACTCGTCCAGGCGCCAGACGGCTGAAGAGCGCGAGGCGGAGCGGCACCGCGCGGGCCGCCTGCTCCTGCACCTGCAGCAGGACGCGCTACCGCGGCCACTGCGGCCGCCGCTGCCCCCGGACCCGCTCTGCCTACACAACTCGTCACTCTTCGCGCTGCAAAACCTGCAGCCCTGGGCCGAGGACAACAAGGTGGCTTCGGTGTCCGGGCTTGCCTCGGTGGTGTGAACAACGCCTGTCCGACCCGCTGAGCGCTCCTTTTCTAAACCTAGGCGCCGCGTCGCGCCAGCCCCAGGCCTGGGGCAAGGGGGCACGCGGTTGTCCACGCTGTGGTTTTGTAGCAGCGGAGCCTGTGAGAAGCAGCTGACTTGCTGCCTATCGGCTAGGATTCCCCTGCCACCCGCGGGTTGAGCGTTTGGCCGGCGCGCTGAGACGCTGCCTTTCCCGCCACTTACACTTGACGGCTGCGCCACTGCTGGAACCTGAGCCGCTGAGGGGGTGGGACTGCAGTAACTAGCCTGTGAGGTGCGAGGAGGAGGGCGGGCTGGCCAACCCGAGCTGTTGTCCCGAAGTTCTCCCGCCGGTGGGTCACACCCTTGCCAGAGCAAGTTATAGGCAGAATGCTGAGAAGAGGCCGAGGATCTGTACCACTCGTGAGAAGGAAGGAAAACCGCAACGACAGCAGAGTAATGGGAGGTGGCACCGGAGAGCTAGAACCTGGGCAGAACTAGAGGGTTGGCACCCTGGGCATCTTATCCTTCAACTGTAAAATAATCACTACGGATTCCTTCTTAACTTTGAGTCTCATGTTGTTGGTGTGTGTTCAACCTGCTACTGAGCCTCATAATGCGCCTGGGGGGCAAGCAAGATACGAATATTTACACACGCAAAGTAAGAAAATCTGGGAAGACTAGTCTGACTCGTGTCCTGTGCAGACTGGGAGGGGGAAGGGGAAACAGTGGGCAAGGATAACTTAATGGGCTTAGTGGAATTAGGGTGAGCAGAATTTGCAAATAATTAGGAAGTGACAGGTCTATGAGGAGCCAAAGCTTGATTCCACAGTTAGAGCTACAGAGTGTCAGGAAATCAATGGTGTTGTGGATGATAAAGGGGGAAATTGGCAAGTTTAAAGCAAGAGCTGCAGGCAAAACAAAATGCTATATCTAGAAAGAAACACTCTGAAACAGTGCCTTTGGTGGTCAGTTGACATTCACATAGAGGTGGAGATAGATGGAATGATGAGATACAATATCCAAAGGAGAGTACTTTTAGGGCAGGAGCAAATTCTAAGGATTAATTCCACAAAATTCTATGCATTTTGCACTTGTGCAAGATGATGAAGGATACAAAGCTAACAGTCCAAGGAAGAGAAGGGAAAGGAACACTCAGCTGAAAAGAAGGGTTAAACACAGCATCTCTGAAAATGTTAGACTTTGCAGTTTGTGGGCAAACTAGGGATTGCTGGGAAGTTAATGGAAAGTTGAAAGTTTGGGGTATTTGTAATGGCTTCAGGTTTAAGGAGCAAGGTTTAAATGGTGTGAGGACAAAAAGAAAGATCTTGTCTGATTCCTACAGCACTCTAATTCTTCCCCTAGAGGCAGGAGCAGTGTTTGAGCTAGAGCTAGGGCAAGAGGTCAATTGTAGTCAGACTAATCATGTTCTATATTAGTGACAGCGACATCTGTTATTGCATAGAGGCTTGACCAGACGTGAAACAGGCAAAGGGCTATCACTGGAGTAGTTAATCCCTGAGTCTTTGCTATTGTGTCACCTCTAAACTCTGGATTCATATATGGTACTACAAAACCAAATTCAAAGTTGGCACCACAGAAAAATAATTTTATAGACCAAAAGAAAGTACAAGAATTGGTTTGGTATAAATTGAGGGTACAGTGGGAGTACAGTCAGTCCCTCGCCAATAAATAGGAGAATATAGCAAGAGTCCTGCCCCGTCTAGACTAGTTAGCCCTGTCCACTTCACCCTTAGTCCACCATTTCTTGAGATTCAGGTTGCAGGCTTTATATTTTACCCTAAATTTTGGGCTTTGAAATCTAGCGCAAAGCCTTGGTGCTAGCTTGAGAAAGGATCAAATGCAATGAGATGCGCAGCTCCCATTCTTAGGTAGTCACTGCAGGACACAGGGATCTCCAAACTCTTGGGTGGAGGAAGATTCATTTCCTGTTGACGATTCTGCTGTTTCTTCCCTCAGCTGGTTTAGAAGGTCTCTGCTTTCGCTGGGGGGCAAGTTACTCAGGAAGTATGAAGGGGCCAACTCCACCAGCCTGACAGAGAGAGTCACAATTAAATGATTTCTGTATCCTTGCTTATACAGCAGACTCTTACTACCCTTTCTTTCAAACCCTATGTTGCCACAAACCACTAAGATTCCCTCCTCTTTTTCAGACTCTCCAATGCCCCAGTCATAATTTTGACCATGGGAATAGGAATGGGCAGTATAGTTGGCCTTTAAGGGAACTCACATCTGTGGTTGAATCTCAGAAACAATGGAAAGGCAGTTGTCTTTGGAAATGGAGAAATTGTGGTAAAGCACCCATTGTGGGGGTCTGGCTGGAGCCCTACGGTTTCGGTAGCAGCAGTGTGGGGAGAGCTGGGCCACATGCTTATGGGTCAGAAGCAGGTAATTTCCAGTTCCATCCGTGTCTTGGGCCACCTCATGAAAGGCAAAAATATTGAAGGAGTAAACAAGAGAGGCAAGTAACAGAAAGGAAGAAAAAAGAACTAAGAACAAATTAGTAAAGATGGATAGCCCCTTACCATACTATATGGTATTTCCCATGCCCCTGTACCCCAAAACCCCAAAGGAAAGTTTCTCCTCATTCTAAAGAATGCTGTGTGGCTACCTGGGCTCAGGTTTCATACCAATCTTTGATCCATCTGCTTCCTGCACCTTTGTGACTCCCACCCTGGCTCTTTCCCCTAACCTTAAGGAAGTATCCAGACACCAGAGCTTTCTGAAGATCTCTTCGATTCTGCTCAGAGCCAAAGGCTGGTTGGGACAAGGGAAGTTCAATTCGTTGCATGAGTTCTAGGAGTTCTCCTCGAAGTTTCTGGGCTTGGCACAGTGCTGCCCAGTTTAGACCCCGAGCCTGGCACCAAGCCTTGTCTGTTCCACCTAGGAGATGAAAGGATACAGCTACAACTGCAGTCCTTGAGGCCCTGAAAGAACACAACCCTCGACTAAAAGGCTTCTTCCTGAGCAGAGGGGCAAATAATGAGGTTATATAAGAGCATGTAGAGTGTGCCACTCACTTTGTATAAAGGCTTCGTACACCTGGATCAGAGAGCTATGATCACCATCTGTGTGTTCCAGGGCCCGACGCAAGGCAGCTTCTTCTGCACAGAGCGGAGGGTGGGTATATCCAGGGGCAGCTGGGGGCATAAGAGTGAATTGTGGGGAATGAAGAAGGATACTATATGGGAGGAACAAAGAGGTACAAGTGTCATTTTGAGAACTTTCTCTGAAAGACACAGATAACTCTTCAGTGCTATGCACTTGGTTAGACAATGAAGACAAAGCGATAAAAGACAGCCTTCTGGGCCCTCCCAGGTGGCGCAGAGGGTTAAAGCACTTCACTAAGAAGCTAAAGCCACTTCTGCATGAGTTCGATCCCTGCCTGCCCAGGAGGTGACCACATGGCGTGGCAGACCTCTCCTGACCGCCCCCTGCTCCCCTCAGTGGTGTACTTCGTCGATCTGCCTATTCTGCTCCCCGGTCTGTCTCTGGTGAATCCTCTCACCCTCCACATCTCTGGCCTGTACCCCAATTCTGTATGAATAAGTAAATAAATCTTTAAAAAAAAAAAAAACAGCCTCCCCTCTCAGGTAGGAGAGACCAACAAGTAAGCACACTTGGTAAGCATGAATGGTTTGGGAGCCAACATGTGAGATTGGAGTTTAATCAACTCAGTGGAGAAGGGGAAGAAAGAATATTCTAGACAGTGGGAATGGCAAGGAACAAAAGTTAGTAGCATGGTGTGACTGGAGAACTTTAAGAGCCCAGTAGAGGGGTGGAGAGGATGGCAGATTAGCAGAGTGGGAAAATGTCAGGACATAAAGCTAGGTCTGGAAAGGTTGGGTATATTGTGCCATGTAAAATTAGTTTACATTCTGTTTGGAAGTTGAAGAATAGCTGTTGGAGAAGAGCTTTTCAGTAACAGTATGCATGTTTGAGGACGCACACATTAGTTAGGAGGCTACTGAAGGAACCCAGCTAAGCAGTGCTAGGGCTCTAACATGGGCACCTCAGTGAGTACAGAGAAAGATGATTTTAAAAATTAGAAGTTAAAAGTGAAAGAACCTGGAGGAAGACTAGCTCAGAATGATGATCATGGACCCACAGAGATGACAATATGATATGGTGTTGGTGGTGAGGGGGTTTTCAGGTAGTGTTTGCCTAAAGCACTGAGCACCACCCTGGTAAGAATGTCCATCCAAAGTCAGATATATAAATCAAAGACTCAGAAGAATGATATTAGCAGGGAGGCCTAAGTTTTGAAAATTTAAGTGTAAAGAAGACCCTTAGATCATGGAGTGAATGGACTCTGAGTTCAGGAGATGAGAAGAGAGGCAATGATAGAACCCCAATGTCCAACTTACAATGGTCAAGTGCAGAGGATTAAGAGACCAGTGAAGAGAATGAGGGAATGGTCAAAAAGGAAGAATGAAAACCAGGAGCAGGACTTACAGAGGACCTAGGGAGTTTCAAGATGGGCATGGTCAGCATTCTCAAGTGACAGATGGAGTGTCCTTGGATTAGGTTGCTGGGAGGTCACTGGTGAGCTGAAAGCTTCAGTGTTGTGATGGGCCTGAAGCCGAATGTACTGAGTGCGGACGACAGAGAGAGAATAGTATAGTACTTGTTCTGTAGGGCTAGAGTTGAGGAAGAGAGGTATGGAACTTCATAAAAGCATATATGAGCATGCTGATGGGTGATAACCAGCAGTCTAAAGAGAGAGGAAGTGTTAATCAATGCTGGTTCTTTGAGGGGTGGAAACTGGAGCACAAGAACGGCTAGCCTTAGGAGTCCCAAACACCAAGGTGCAGGACTGCAGTAGCCATAAGCACCAGAAACAGAAACAATGTATACCAGTGAGCATAGCCGCTAGGGTGAGCATCTCATCCACACAATCAAACTCGCAGGAGGCCAGTAGAGCTTTTGCCAGCTCTGGGGGCAGAGGAAACTCTGACAGGATGATTCCCAGGTCTGACAGGTTTCCATCATCATCCAGGGCTGCCAGATAGTCTAAGTCTTCGAGGGCCTGCATCAGGGCTTCTGGAGCTGGCAAGGAAATAATGGCTTACAGGGCAGGGGCCTCAGAGACAAGTAGTCAAGACAGCAAGACTCGGGCAGGAGGGGCGCTCACCAGGCCGGTCCAGGAAGTGACAGTCCCCTGGCTCTGCAATCTGTCTCCTCTTCAGCAGTAATACCAGCGGGCTCAGATTCTCCTCACACACCCTGGGTTGAGGTAGTTGGGGAGCCACTTCTAGGAAGGACTTAGGGTATAGGCAGAGGCAGGATCCTGAGGGGAGAAAGTCCGGGCAAAGGGCCACTAGAGATCAAGACTGGATGTTGGTGACTCTTTGTGTTTGATTTCAGTGAGGGCAAACGTTCTTACCTGGTGGGTACCCTCTTGCCCGAAGTTGTCTTGCCTTTGCCTGGCACTTGCTGATTGGCCTCAACACTTGAGATTCTGCTCGGATTTGAGGATTGTAAACCTGTCACCACCCCCCAATGAAGGCCAAGACAGATCAGCGTGGGCCATTTCTATCTTTAGTCTCCCATCCCCTCATCTCACTAGTTCCACATCCCCTCATCTCTCTCACTCACATTTCGAAGCTCCAGTCCTGAGTCAATGACATGTTGAATGGAAGGGAGAGAGAAGGAGAAGTCAGCCAGCCAGTGAGTGACCACCACCTTTTGGGCACCCAAGTCTGTGTCCTCGTATACAGCCTGAACAGCTTGACCAACGCCTGAGTGGAGGGGTAACACCCGTGGAGGAGGCCTTTGGAGAGCCAAGGAACCCACCTCTCTGGACAAGGATTCACAGCACAAGGAAATTTCCTGAGAAGAAGGGTGGGGTGTTATGGCAGTCCTCACCTCTTTGGGTCATACACCCCTTTGAAAAACTGATGTAAGCCATGGCCCTTCATTCTGAAAAAATGCATATTCATGAAGTTGGGGGATAATTTTAGGAATTCACTGAATTCCTACATTAGATGGGATCTCTACATTAGGTGGAATCAAGAGGGTGACGGTAGATTAATCTGTGCATTTTTCTGTAGGATCCAAACAGTGGATCCACAACCCCTATGTTCCTAACACCCATATTCCCCAGCGACAGGAAGTTGGCATACATGAGTACTTCCTTTTGCATTTTTTTTTTTTTTTTACCTCCTCACTGGGTAGGTACACTAGCACGTCTCCAGGGGGCTCCTTCTGACACAATTCAAGCACAGCTTGGCAGACAGCTTCCACGCGATCCGCAGGGACAATGTCCCTATATATGGGGATGGGGCAACTGCCAAGTTCTCCAGGTACACGCACAACAGGAGGATTTCCCCAGAAGGCTTGGAGCTTAGGTTCAAGGGCTGGATCAGTAACTACAACCACTCTGAGGTCCCCAGGAAGGTTTCCCAGGCTGGCATCACACAGCAGCCCCTGAAGCACATCTGTGGCCACTGACCGCTCCTGAGCCTCATCCAGCACCAGCACACCCAAGCTTCCAGTGTCCCGGGTTGAGGCCACCTCCTGCAGAAGAAGTTTGTCCCAGCAGAACCTATTGACATTGGCAGTGGGCAGAGGATTCAGTGTGAACACTGATCATCAGCTCTGAAGTTCAGGAGATTTTTCTCCCCTGGGTGCTTAGGTTTTGATAGTGAAGGTCAGCAAGAAAACAAATTCTTGGGGTTAGTTTCCTAAGCATGGAATCCAGAACTGTAGCCCACAGCTTCAATGTTCACACTTTGTTCACAAGCTGTGCACTAGCTGGACAAGTAAACTTTCATGGTGAGAGTGAGGGTGAATGTTTGTGGTCCCTGGCTGAAATTAAAGTGCTTAATTCAGCAGTTGTATTATGTATGATTTAGAGCTTGAGATGGATTGAGGGGGGATTCAATGAGATGTCAAAAGACTGGGCTTGTTGCTAGAGGGTGAGGGGGGATTCAACTTGGGTCAGGCCTGAGGGAGGCCCCACCTGAGCAGGGTATCGGGCCCGGTGCAATCCTCCTGGGGGATGCTGTATCCAACTTCATGACCAAGGGCCAGGTCCATCTCATCAGCAACACGCAGAGCCAGGCTTAGAACTGCCAGCGGATAGGGCTGAGTGACAGTTACCTGGCCCTTCTGGAACCCCCTCGCCAGCGCAAACTCTGCACACCACTGAGGGATCTGGGATGGGGCAGGGAAGAATAGCCAGTCAGCAGGACCTAGGCCTTTAGTCAGAAATGCTGGGGAGCTATGACCAATTTAACCTCCCTTGTTTGAGAAGTCCTTTCACCAGCCACCCTTTGCCCACCTTCCCTCAAGCCCCCATAGACCAATCCCTCCCTCGCTCAGAGAAAGGTCAGTTCCCCAGACCCTCCCTCTGTTCACACCCAGAATCTCCCCCCACCTGAGTGCTCTTGCCAGAGCCAGGCTCTCCAGACACCAGCACTACTCCGCTGGGGCTACTCTCCAATTGCTCCAAGAAGATAAAACGAGTGGCCCAGATGGGCAAAGTTCGGCGCTGCTCAAGCAGCTCGTAGTAGCGGGAAGAGAAGGGAAGCCCATCAAAGGGGTTCACAGCCAGATCAGACTCCCCAGGGCTTACACCAGACTCTTCTGCCAGCCTCAGTAGCTGAGAGGCCATCGTGGCCCAGGCAGGACCTACAGAAGGCAGTAGTTATTAAGGGCTTGTGTTTGGTAACAGGTACCATCTTTCCACCTCAATGATCCCTAACCTGTATCCTCAGACTACAGGGACCAGATCCCTCTTTCCCAGCATGTTTTGCCTGCCAGGATCTGGTAGAGATTTGCATCTTCAAGTAAGGGGAATCGAAAGAGGACTATTACTCCATCTTGTGACTAGCACAAGGGTCCTCAAGAGCAGCAGGAATTATGTGAAAACTGATACAACTATGAGAAAGTCCCAAGACAGAAAGGATAGGAAAAAAGGGGGCAGGAATCCAGGTGCAGGGCCCCAAGGATCCTGGATTCAAACCTGCTTGCAGTTCTAAGATGATTCAGGAGAGCAGCCGGTTCCAGACGCACCCAGCTTATCATCACCAACTCTGACCCGAGTAAGTACAAAGGTAAATTCCGGCCCAACCCTGGGGTTTGGTTCAAACACCAATCCTGAAGACTGGTTCTGGGGTGGTGCCACTTGCTCCTCCTTATTTAACTAAGCCAGGAACCTATGGAGAACAGGCCCCAGCTACTATACTGAGCATGTGTGAATGCTATATAGATACTGTCTAGCATGTTCACCAGTGAAAGGCATCCTGGGAATTGTAGTTTTGTAGCTGTTTCTTCACAAACCTGGGCTAAATGCCCAAGTTAGAGTCCAGATGCTGCAGGATCTTCAATTCAGTTTCCTTAACATCACACATTTCTTGACATGAAGAGTTGATTTCCGATACTTCCATTCTGACGACTCCCCATAAACCAACCAGGAAACCCTCATAGCCCTGTTCTCCCCCAACTAAGGGAAAAGGCACTTGTTCAGGGGGCTTTTGAGACCCAGAGAAGCAACAGAGACCTTGAGTGAAAACCCTGAATTTAATGTGATAACGGGGGGAGCCCCATCCCTCCCTTTATGTCCACCCACCCATCCGGCCTGTTATGAGGTGGGTAAGGGCTGCCCCCAGTCTCCGTCCTGCGGCTCTGGGTATCATCCTGTGCTCAGTCTGCCTCCTGGGCCTGCCTCTCTGTGAATCTCCTGTGGGACATAGAAGATGTGTGGGCTTTGCTGTATTAGTTCCATAATTAGCTCCCTTCTCAAAGGGCCAGTTTCTACCTTTTGTTTTCTAAGCTCCTCACCTTCTTGCATATTCATAGAGTGCTTGCTTGCGCTCCTGTAGACTCTCCTGCCGGGCCCAAGAGGACTTGGCAAATGTTAGGGCTGTGGGCTGAGGGGTCACCGGGCCAGAGCTGGGAAACTGAGGTGATCACAATGTCAGAGGGCTTGCGAAGTCATCATCATTAAACACGCACCGAATGCCTACTTTGCAAGAGAGGCACTGTGCTAGGGTCTCAGGATCAAAAAGACATGTCAAGGATAGGGAGTATGTAGACTGTCCCATCCCACCCAAGTCTTGGACCTAATCAATTCTGGGGTCTCACCTTGGGGGCAGAGGTTGTGGAAAGGGACTGGGTCCCCTCAGTGATATCTTCAGGTATGAAAGCTACAGCTCCCTCAAGCAGGTTAGTGATGGTCAAGTCTACACAGCCAGTCCTGGCTGAAGAGAAGGGAGAACATAGTCTGCTTTCAACTCCCCACCTCCCCTCATCACCCACTTTGCAAGTTAACACCCCATTTTCCTTCTTTCCATGCATGTCTCCTTGTGTGAGTCTACTCTTTCCCATACCCAGGTCTCTCTGGATGACTCCCAGTGGCACATCGGGTAAAACCTCCTTGACTCTCTGAGCCAGAGTTGCCAGCTGCGCATCAGGAGAAGGGCCAGGGGAGTGATGGAAAGACTGGGCTGCAAAAAAGAAATCCAAAATATGGTGAGTGGAGAACTAAGAAGCTGACTAGCACAGAATAGGAAAGAGGTCACAACAAGCTGAAAACAAGCTTTTGTACAAAGACCACAAACCTGACTGGGGGCGTGATCTGGGATGTCTTTGTCGCTTCATGTGTTCTGCTTTGTCTGCTGGAGTGAGCTGTGTCCCTGTCTGGCCCAATTCTTTGGCCACCAGCTAGAAAGAATTATAAGGTTGGATGTGTCAAGATCTTAAATCTTTTCCCCTTCTATCTGAAGAAAGACCCCACTCCACCCTGCCCATGTACCCTACCACCTGTTGTACACGGAGGGCAAACTCCTCATTCCCCTCCCCAAGTTGGCGATGAACAGGATGGAGCCACCTGCAAAAAATAATCCAGGGAACACTAAGGATAGATTCTGTATGTTGCCTCCTCCCTACAATACCTCTTTTTGTAAAATGGCAGTGATAAAGGTCGTTAGTAGATAGTATTGCCCCTGTGGTAGAACCCTGGTATTCAAAGATCTGCAAATAGACAGTGCAGAGGCAGCTACTTTCCTAACTCAAGGTAAGCTTCTCCCAGCCACCAAAAATGTGAAGGCAGTTAATACCTTACTTGATACACCGTGAAAGGGACGAAAAGTGACCACAGCAGCTCTGAGACCCAGGAGGCATCTGACACCGTCTGAGAGGAGGGCATGATTTAAGATCTGTGTACCGGCCAGGAGGAGGAATGTTCCCCTCTAAGCCCCAGCATTCCCTTCCAATATACACTCACCACAGAGACAAGGGGTCTCTGGACTCGAAGAGTAAGAGGCTGTACCACATCTTGGATAGAAAATGGCCAGGAACTAGAAGTGGGAAGAGAAGAGAAGATGGGGTAGCCAGCCAGTCAACAGTTTCAACCTTACTTAAACCAGAGAATTTTCAAATCATACAAGTAGATACAGGGGATAGAAAGGTATTCAGAAGAGATGTAAATGTGGACAGAAGGGAAAATGAACTAAGAACGGAAGGGGTAGGGCTGAAGAAAGTTGTGAAAAAGGGCCCCAAGTCTGACCACCTACCCCGTTGGAGACCGATACCTGTGCTCACCTGAAGCGCAGGAGCCCCTCCCGGCCATTGGTGGCCTCTTCCTCGGGGAATAGCAGCAGAGGGGTGGGGGGAAGCCTCGTGGAAGCACAGAATCGCTTGAGTGACTCCACCAACTCCCCCCGCCCATCCATCTCCATGAAGCCCCGAGACCAGCACACAAAGCTGGGGGGACTATTGAGTAGAGGCTGGGAAGGGGGAAGAGAGAAAGCAAGAAGAATATTGGGAAGTGAGATATACTGACATATGGGATAGAGAAGCGATGTTAGGGGTAAGGCTTGGTATGTCGTGGTCCCCAGGGAAACCTGGACGGGTAGAGGGAAGTCCTGTGGAGGGTCCCGAGGAGCAGCCCAAGGCGCTCTCTATTTCGCCCCCTCCACACCCCCCACTCACGGTGCTACAGCTGGTGAGCAGGTTGACAATGTTGTGATCGAAAGGTGTAACGTGATTGGAAATGAGAACCCTGACGCGTTGATCTCGGAGTCCGGAGTCCTCTTGCCGGGCCACGAGCCCCAGCACCGCACACATGGTTCGCACCACGAACCTGCGGACGCAGGCAGTGGTGACTGCACGGCCGCGGCCGGGCCCGATCCTGACCCTCCCCGAGTCCCCGGGTCGGAACCTGCGAAGGACGCTGTCTGGGAGTGCGCAGCTGACCAGGAAGACGTGGATCCCCAGAAAGAGACGCAGGACCAGGAGGCAGAATCCGACCGGAGCATAGAGCAGCAGCGCGAGGAGCAGGAAGCCGTCACCCGGCAGCCTGAGGGCGACAGGCCGGCTGAAGCGGCGCCGAAGGCCGAGTGGACTTGGAAGCCGGGCTCTTCCCTGGGACGCTTACCTGTGCGAGTCAAAGAGACGCTCCGGCCCCGGAGCCGGAGGAGGCTCCATCGCTGCTACTTTAGGGGTGTCCCGCTGCCGCCGGCGCCGCCGCCATCTTTGCGCCCCGCCGCAGTGGCTCCTGGGAAGGCGGAGTCTTGGGCATCAGCCCAGGCTACCGAGACCCGCGATCCTGATGCGCCCCGGAAGGGCTAGCTATCCCAGTATGCCTCGCGGCCGTTGGGCCGCCTCAGAATCGCAAGGACCACAACTCCCAGCATTCGCAGGGAGGAGCGGAGTAGGCCCTCGGGAATCTTGGGTCCGGGGCGTGCTCTTCTGGAGGACTTCAGGTACCGGCGTGCCCCGCGTCCACTGTCGGCCAGAACACGTCCAGGGCACCGCCTCTGTGTTGGGCGGGCGAGGAGGCTGCCGAGGCGGAGCTGATGGCTGCACTGAGGGCGGGGCGGGGTGCAGGCTGGAGCCTCCGGGGATGGCGGGTTTTTGGGGGGGTTCGCTGGGGGAAGGGACCCCTAATGACCCCTGACCTCCGGGCCCTGCTGACGTCAGGAACGCCTGACCCTCGGGCCCGAGTGACTTATGGGGCCCCCAGTCTCTTAGCCCGGTTGTCAGGGGGGGTCCCTGAACCACGGACATGCCTGTCGTCGGCGACTTCGGATTTCCGAGCACGGCTGACTTCTGGGACTCCAGCTCCCCGGATCCAGGAGGACTCTGGGACCTCTGGAACCCATCCGCACGTGTGGCTGGCCGTAGCGCTGGGCGCTGGGGGGGCACTGCTGCTGCTGTTGTGGGGCGGGGGTCGGGCCGTATGCGCCTCGGTCCTCGGCCCGCCGCCCACCTCTCCCCGGAGCCAGTACAACTTCATCGCAGACGTAGTGGAGAAAACTGCCCCTGCCGTGGTTTATATCGAGATCTTGGGCCGGTAACGGTGGCGTAGACCAAGAGGCACCGAAGCAGGGGGCTGGAGGGTGGCCGCGCAGGAGCGGTCAGAGCCTCCTCAAATCCATGTTTTCCCCTTCCTAGGCATCCTTTCTCGGGGCGCGAAGTCCCCATTTCAAATGGCTCAGGATTCGTGGTGGCTGCCGACGGGCTCATCGTTACCAACGCCCATGTGGTGGCTGATCGGCGCCGGGTCCGTGTGAGGTTGCCGAGCGGAGACACGTATGAGGCCGTGGTCACAGCTGTGGATCCTGTGGCTGACATCGCCACGCTGAGGATTCAGACCAAGGTGGGGTTCTGGGCAGGCTGGGTTTGGTTGAAGTGTGAATTTTCTCGTTATCTCGGATGACAGGCCTCTTGTGCCCATTTTCCTTTAGGAGCCGCTCCCCACTCTTCCCCTGGGACGCTCAGCAGATGTCCGGCAAGGGGAGTTTGTTGTTGCCATGGGAAGCCCCTTTGCACTGCAGAACACCATCACATCCGGCATAGTCAGCTCTGCTCAGCGTCCAGCCAGAGACCTGGGTCTCCCCCAAACTAATGTGGAGTACATCCAGACTGATGCAGCTATTGATGTGCGTCCTGATATGAAAAATGATATTCTAGGCTGGGGGAGGGGCCCAGTAGAATAGGCATCAACTGAGGTTAGATGATCATACATAGAACCTGGGCTGCAAGAACGTGGCCAGGCATTCATGGGTTGGAAAGGAGAGACTGGAAAAACGCCTGGATGCTGATAAATCCCCCAGGTATAGATTCCCTGGATCTCCTCCATATTTTCTCCTTGTCCTACAGTTTGGAAACTCTGGAGGTCCCTTGGTTAACCTGGTGAGTGGGACAATCTTCTTTCCAAGAATCCTGGCCCCAGGTCAGTGTGGGATGGAATGGGTTTTTCCTAATTCAACAATTTTTGGTTAAGTGTCTGAACAACCTGTTGTTGGCTAGTTCCCGGAAGCCAACCTCCCCATTTCCCTAGTACTTCCTGCCACTCTTGTATAGGTGTCCCCATCTCCTACTGTTTATTTGGGCTAGGGAATGGTGGGCTCTGTCCCTGCAGGATGGGGAGGTGATCGGGGTGAACACCATGAAGGTCACAGCTGGAATTTCCTTTGCCATCCCTTCTGATCGTCTTCGAGAGTTTCTGCATCGTGGTGAAAAGAAGAGTGAGCTTGGCTTTAGTGGGACACCTGGCTTTGTGGGTGGGTGGGGAGGTGGAGTGCTTTATACGGTGGGAAGGTATTTATTGGGCCTTATTAAAGGGGGTCCATTGGGAGAATAGGGGAAGGAAGGAGATAGCTGGGAGGATCTCATTTGTCCTTCTGTCACAGATTCCTGGTTTGGAATCAGTGGGTCCCAACGCCGCTACATTGGGGTGATGATGCTGACTCTGACTCCCAGGTATGAGCTTTAGGGTTAGTGACATGTAGAGTCACAGGTGTAGTGAGTGGGGAAAGCTGGTAGTTCTGTTGAGCTGTGTTCTCATTTCTGTCACAAGTTGCTTCATACCTGGAGCTATCAGAAGAGCTGTCCTCTTTCATCATTGTGACTTTCTTGCCCCACTTCATTTTGCACACCTGCCACACACCTGCCACCAGATTGATTTTAGGCTTTTACTGCAGCCCATTAACCTGGTATTTAAGGGCCATTTTCCATTTGTCTTCAATTCAGCTTTCCAGATTGTTTCAGCCAACCTGAATTTCAACCTATGGGAGTACTTCCTACCCCCATGCTTTTATTTATGTCATTCTTGTTTTATGCAGTTAAATACAGCCTTATCCTTTAAGCGCCTTTTAGCTTAGGTTCTACTTCACTCCCTCCTTAAAGCTACTTTTAGGATTCTTGAGTAGTAGTGCTATTGGTTTAACATCATGTGTCATTTGAAATTACTTACCTTTTACTTTACACCTCCCTTCCTAATTGCTAGAAGGCAGAAAGGGAATTGCCTTTGTATCTGGGAATATCGAATATACGTCCAGTACATAGTCATAATATTTTGAGAGATTTGAGGTGAACCCAAAATGGGAAGAGTACCCTTGATGTGGTTAACAGGGTGCTCTGTGTCCTTTCAGCATCCTTGCTGAACTACAGCTTCGAGAACCAAGCTTTCCTGATGTTCAGCATGGCGTACTCATTCATAAAGTCATCCTGGACTCCCCTGCACACCGGTGAGGGAAAAACTGCACTGTGAGGTGGGCTGTGTACGGTGTGCATCTACCCTTGTACTGGGCTGTAGTCTACCCCTTCCTTTCTCTTTCTGTCCATCTTTCACCATAGGGCTGGTCTTCGGCCAGGTGATGTGATCTTGGCCATTGGGGAGCAGTTGGTTCAAAATGCTGAAGATATTTATGAGGCTGTTCGAACTCAATCCCAGTTGGCAGTGCGAATCCGGCGGGGACCAGAAACACTGACCTTATATGTGACCCCTGAGGTCACAGAATGAATGGATCAGCAAGAGTCTGAGGCTCCTGCTGTAATTCCTATGTTGCTTTCTGGCCTAGGCTCTCAGGCCACCTGGACAGAGGATTAAATGAACGAGTTGGGGGCAGGGCCCTGCAACCACCAGCACCAATCCCTGGGCTCTGAAGAATCACAAAGACACTTTTTATATAAAATAAAATTATACCTAGCAACATGTTATAGTCAAAAATTGGGAGTGGGAGGCTGATCTTTCCCCCCCCACCAAAAGGCTAGAGGTAAAGCTGTATCCCACCTGCACTGAGGGAGGATACTGGAGCTGACCATCTTGACCTCCCTATTCAAGAAAACCAGCTGCTGCTGTCTATTGTTCTGGGCAATTGATAAGCTGTTGTTTGTGGTGTGCTCTATTTGGTGCTGGGCCCAGGAGCACAGATCTCAGCTTGACAGTTCCACATCCATAGCACACATTTGCTTGGGCCTGCTGACATCGAGGGTTCCTTGGTAAGCTCCTGAGGTAATGCAGCCTCAGACCCCTGCCTTAGGGGCCAGTGGTGGTTTGCCGAGGAGGTGGTGGCACCTCAGACGATCTGATTGCTGGTCTGGCCAGGATAGCGCTCGAACCTTCTGTTGGCCTCTTCACTGAAGGCATCACCTATAAAGTGAATGGATGATTTGGGCTGGAAAACAGACCTATTGTAGAGAAGGGTGGGTAGATTAGAGAGGCTGGGAGGTGTGGAGGTGGCAGGAAGACACAGAAACAACTTAGGGAGAGAGAATAAAGGCCTTTGCCGCCTATTTCCCTTTTCCACCCATTCTCTCTGGGTTGCTTTTCCCACCAAGTACCAATGTGGCAGTTGTGCACCCAGATGCGATGTCCATCATATTTGCAGTTACATTTCATTGCATTATTTGTGAAGTCACTCTCCGCTACTTCGAAATTGGGGTTGATGACCACCTGTGAGTAGGAGAAAGGCAACTTAACTCAGCTGCGATTCTTAAATATAAAGATGTTTATAATAAACACTCCTCCCACTTGCCATCTAGAAATCCAGACTGTAAGCACCTGCAGAATATAGTTTCCTGGCTTCACATCTGTGATGTCGATCCATTGACAATCGATATCATGTCGGTAGAGATCCCAGCAACCCACGGTGATGCCCTGCTCTCCAAAGTTGGCACACTCATACCTCTTGGCGACTTCTGGAAGAATTGGAACATGTCAGTGTGAGGAAAGGCTGTGAGATAGAGATTCTGTAGTCCATGCTAGATCCCAACTCACCTTCCTGACACTCAGTATCTTCTAGACAGAAGCTAGCTTTGTGGCCCTCAGCTACCTTGGTGCCATTGGGGGTCAGGATATCATAGTGAGTGAAGATGTCCATACTGTGGTAATGCCTGTGGGAACAAAGGAACCCCTATTTCCTTCCTGGCCCCCAGTAACCTTGGCCCGTCTCTAGTGGCTTTACCTTTCTACCTGCTCCTCTACTGTCTCACCCATGACACTCATGCCACACCCAGGAGTGGCGCCCAGCCTTGGGCCTGAAGTCAGCTCTTCCCAGGTTGTGGATCTGGGAGGAGAATCGGAGCAGACGCCGATGGCCATAAGGCCAGTTGGCTGAGCGGGCCGAGCTGGCCAGGCAGTTCTCTTCTGCAGCACAATACAACATGTGTAGGGGCCGGTCCTCGATGTAGGCCGTCTCCTGTACCAATGCTGAGTGCAACAGCAGATCTGATGCAGCTGCACCGAGGAAGGAAGGAGAGTGGTAGAAGTTACTGTGGAGGAGTAAGAACAGATGAGGGTGCTTCCACCCCTTCTTCTCCACAAAGACAGTATGTGAGGCTGCTTTACTGTGTGTGTGTGTGGGGGGGGTTCCAATCAGATTATAGTTCCTTGTTTCCCAGCAAGGGGTGACCTTGAGTTTCCCCTCCCTGGCTTGTATCATCCTACCCTTCACTCACTTTCAGAGCAGATGACTCCAGCAGTGAAGCGGGCCTCTGTCCTCTTGCAGGCGATGTGGATGCCGTGATGAGCACATTGGTCCAGGGACAGCTCTGTCCCTGTGCAGCGCACTCCACTCATTACTACATCTGTTATGTTTCCAGAGTCCCAATACCAGGTCTCCTGGGGACATAGGTAGGTATTCTGTGAGGCCGCATCATCCAGCCTCCTATGCCAAAAAACTCATTTCCATAGTCCTCTGTCTCAGACACATGCTTGGGAAGTAACAGTCTTGGCTTCCCTCCCCACTCACCTGCAGGCCATGGTTTGCATAGCCCAGTCCAAGTTGCCTACAGGCTACCATGGCCTCCAGTGTCCCCCAGCCATCCCCACAGATGAGGCCCCAGCGAAGAGGCCCAGGTCCTCCTGTTTGCACCTCGACTCGCCCCTCATATCTGCTGCGGCCCCCACTGAGTCGGATCTGTAGTGACAGAATGGAAATGCTGGTAGAAGTCTGAGCTGGCATGTGGTTGACAGTGATTAAGGGGCACATAAAAGATGAGCAAGTGGTGGCATCAGGTGGGAGCTTCAAGATGGCAGGGGTCCTGGGGCATGGGCTAGGTGGTCATCAGACTGCAGAATGTTGTTAGGAGATACCTGAACCAAGGTGGAAAGCACGACTGACCTTTGTTTCTACCCCAGTGTAAGGCAGGTTGCATCGAACTCCCGCATCCTGGCTGTGGGAACAGTCCTCAGCTGTGATGTTCTTGTGGGGGCACCTCCAGAGGGAGGGTTCTTGTCCAGAGCATCGAACTTCACTCAGGTGGATGGCACCCATACCTAGGACCAGAGGTCAAGGATCAGGAGGTTGTAACTGGATCTTCATTGGCTGTCCAGGGATCTCCTTCCTAAGGAGTCTACTTCTCAGGAATATGTGCCTCCTCTTCCTCCCCTCTTCCTTCCATCATCCTTACCCTGGCCCATGCGGGCACCACTCAGTGCCTCTCGAGCGCTCCCAAAGCCCAGCTCCCGACACACCACACTGGCTGCCTGTAGGTCCCACTTGCGATCACAGACTGTGCCCCATGTGCCAGCCTTCAGGACTTCCACTCGGCCTTCTCCAGGATGGGACCCACCCTTTAGACGCACTCGGACCTATAGAGAGAGACACTGTGAACAGCACAGAGGACACAGCAAACCTGGGAGAGGAATCAGATTCTGATGGGAGGGAGGGGGTGTTCTCAGGTCACTGGCCCACCCCATACAAGGTTCTTCTCTGTCCTCAAAGGTCAGGGCTGTGTTTGATTTGGGGATGACTAGGCTAGGGGTTTCTCCACCTGGGGTGGGCAAAGTAATAGTCACTGTCTCAACACACCTCCCCCTGCGGCTTCGACTGTTGTTGCTTCTTCTGGCCACTGGATGCTGCGTAGAGAAGGCCTGGCACACAGCTCACCACCGCAGGGGCCCCCCCAGGGCACCTGGTGGTGTCATTGGCTCGATAGAACTCCAAGGAGCAGAGGGAGAGGTGGGCTTCCGTGCCCATGCATGCCACCCCATGCAGACCAAAGGAGTGTTGCTGCCGCTGGGCCAGCAACCTGGGGGGACAGGAGTGGGGTGCAGTAGGGTAAAACAATGCTCCTGCACCTTTGCCCACAACCCTCCTCCCAATCCATGCTTCCACCATCCCCCAAGCTTTCATGACCACTTATTCTTTCCTTTCCCTCTTTCTGCTGTTCCCTCTGAAGAGACAAAGGGAGTGATGAGTTTCCGAGCTGCAAGAGCAGCCTAGGTTACTCAGGTGGGGGCCCTTGGGGACCTTCTGCAGCAGAAGAGCCTTGAGGGAAGGATGGCTAGTCTTGACTTGCCTGACAGAAACCTTACTCCACATGGTTTCAGGCTGCTGGCCCTAATGGAGGCTGAGGCTGACGCTGCTGTGCAAAGAGAACGGGAAGCCAGGGTGCCCCAGTGGAAGAGATGGGCGGGAGGGAGTGGCTGACACAAACAGGAAGTTTGAATAGCCAGTGTGAGCAGATCCTTCTGTTATGCTGAGACTGAAATAGCTGATGAGTCAGGATACAAAGGCATAAGATGGTCTCCTGGGTCTGAGTGGCTTCTCAGAGTACATTATGCAGTTACGAAAAAAACAGACTAGATGGTGGACGCAGGAAAGATTGGAACTGGCATATGCAAGAATGAAGATGTATCAACACAAGAGAGACAAATATTAGAAGGACCTTGTGACCAGACACATAGCATGAATATGAACACCAGAATGCTATCCCCAGACCTAAGATGAGCCAGTCTTGAATGAGGTAGTCCATGCTTCTGTGATTTTAAATGTAACAGAACATTCTGGTCTCTCCAACAGAAATATGAGACTAAAGTAGAGATGTTAAAGCTTGGAAACACTGCAGAGAGATGCCTGAGAGAATGAGAATTTGTTTACTGACACCAACAGAATGAGCAGTTGCAGGAAGCTTTGTGAAGAGAGGAGTACCTCCTTTCCAGAACCGCTGATTTGAGTCCAAAGAGAAGGGAACCCGATGAGGCTGGTTTGGTGGTAGATTATTGGAGTAATGTGCCTTGTCACTTAATGTCAGATGAGGGAAGGAACAGATGATGTGAAGCCATTGAGTAGGAAGACAGAAGTTAGGAACAAAACAAAGCCTGGAGACATTACAGAATACCTTTAGAAGTTCAGGGTAAGTGGATTCTGAAGTTCAAAGAGATCAGGTACTCTCCCAAAGTCCTGTTTGGCTGAAAATAAAAGTTAAAGAGGCCATGGCAGGAAAGACATCTCTCTCCTCAACTCCTTCCTCCCTTTTCCCCATAACTAATAGTGTAAAAAATGACAGCATGCACTTTAATGTGGAGCCAGAGTATGGCCATGTTGGACAAAGATGACCCCAAACCAGAGGGGCTCAACAACACCCTCAAATTCTAAGCAACTTGGAAGCCACAGAGGAGGGCTTGGGAATTAAGGGATACCAAGGGGGATCACTGGGTGATCCCTGAATGTGCTGAAGAGAGGAGGGGACAATGAAAGGGATGATTTCTCTGTATCTCAACTCAGGGAGATTTTGCATATGCATATGACCTTTGAAAGTGAGACTGATCAGAAGTGAGGTTGATCATGGGATTGGAAGCTTCCCTTGGGTTCCAAAAGAACCCAGGAGGAAAATTATGGAAGACTATCTGTTACTGGGCCAGACTGTCTATGTGAATCCATCCCTGGTAAAGGTTCCAGAGAAGACCTGGAGTCTCAACTCAAAGCAGGTAGCATTTAAAAATATTAATCAGGTGAAGTAGAATGGGGATACCGATCTCTTAGGCAGACTTCTCAGGGGAGAAGTGTGTCTGAAGGAAAAAAAGTGTCAGAGTATCTGATCTACAAGGATTGACTGGGTGCAGGGGAGATAAGCCTGTGGAATAAGGGTAATCAGTAGATAAACATTGAGACTTTTAACAAATCTGGGGATGAGCACAATTCCAACATAAAGGCATAATTTCAACAGAGACCAACATAAGGGCCATCTTTATGTGTTAGTGATTCATCTAGAAGGTGATTTGTAATTGCTGCTGCTGCTCCTTCACCTTTTCAGGGCCTCTTTTGAACCCTTCCTGACCACAGCCCACTTCCCCCAACTCGTCACTAGAAGCTCCCACTCTTCTCCACCCAACTTCAACTATATTTACCTCTTGATTGGCCCCCTGCCCATTCGGGGTTTGGGTATGACTTTAAGTTTGGTGATTGGTCTGAAAAAAGGAGAAAGAAGTTAGTGGAGATAGTGGTTAGATATGTGGTCCAGAAAAGGTAAAGGGTCTTTTTTTTTTTCCTGTTTCATGCAGAATGTAGGAAGGGTCAGATTTTCCAACTGTACTGCTGCAGATAACCCAGTTACATTTTAGGAATGCATGCTGCACAGTGATGAGAAATCTGATTATATCAACCAAAGGAGAAGTAAGTGCAAAGGTGATGGGAGGAGAGAGGATGGGAATGTGGGTAAATCAAGGTAGGTGAGGTGCAGGGGAAGGGAAGAAGCATTGCAGGTTGGAGTCAGAGCTGGGGGTGGGGGCAGGAAGAAAGGAAGAATAAGGAATTGGAGGCTTCTCAGCCATTCCTAGAATATTCTTCCTTGTGCTCCTTGAGATCAAAGCTTGCTCTACCCCATGCCTGCATCCCCTCCCTTCCAGCCTGGAACAGTCATTTCCAGTCACATCCCTAATTCACGAGGTTGGGTTCTGGGATGGATATGGATAGGCTTCCTTCCATCCATCCACCTCCTGGGGCCACAGGGGTCAAGCAGGAGGTCCCGGGGCTCTTGCCCCATTACCTTCCAAGGGACTTGGGGCGTTGGGCCGATGCTTTGGCCGCTCGCTTCCTCAACTTTCTGTGAGGATAAGACAACAGCAGAGTCAGGATCAGTCTAAAACCAAGTGGGAAAGACTGATGCAGATGGAACAAGAGCAAAATTTCCACTCCTAACAGTTGAAGGGTTCCTAATGGGAGGGTGTTCTAAAAGCAGCTAGTTCTAAGGCTCTGGCCTTCACAGCTGTTTAGTCTCATGAGTAATTCACCAGGTGGGCACGCAGTAGTGAAGGTCATAGGACCCATAGAAACTAGGCTAACACAGATGGAGAATAAAGACTCAGTTGTCCAAAGGAGGGTTCATCTAAACCTGAGAGAAGGATTAGGAGAAGTGTAGGTAGGAGGGTGTTAGGATTGTTAGAACCACCAGACTGACCAGTCTAGGAGAGAGAACTGTCTTGGTCTGGTCTTTTTTATTTTTATGCTCTCTGGGTTTTGGCATTTTCAGGCCCGAGACCAGGGACCAGGGCCACAGAGCCAGGGATGATACCCAGGACGTTTACTTGGGATGACTGGGGTGCAAAGCCGAGGCAGATCAGGATGAGAGTACCCTTTTTGCCCAAGTCCCATATGCTGTGGTTATTCACAAACTGAGCTCATCTCCCAAACTTACTCCAGGAGAATAAGTTCTAAAAATAAAATTTAAAACCTTATTTCTTTTTAATTGGCTTGAATGTTTGAGCTATTTCATTCTTTAAGAAGCCAGCTTAAACATAATGCCTGAGGCCCTCCCTGGTGCTGCAGCAGGTTTAAGCACAGCACTGGGAAGCTGAGCCACTTCAGCATGTTTGATCCCTGCCTGCCCCGGAGGTGACCCACATGGTGCCGCAGACCTCTCCTGAGCCGCCCGCTGCTCCCCTCAGCAGTGTACTTTGTCAGTCTGCCTGTTCTGCTCCCTACTCTGTCTCTGGTGAGTCCTCTCACCATCCCTGCACCTCTGGCTTGTATCCCAGTTCTGTATGCATAAATAAACAAATCTTAAAAAAAAAAACCAACACTGCCTGAAAATAGACCTGTTACTCCTTTCATTTACCATTTGATTTTTTTTTTAAGGTTTATTTATTTATGGATACAGAGCTGGGTACAGGCCAGAGGTGCAGGGACGGTGAGAGGATTCACTAGAGACAGAGTAGGGAGCAGAACAGGCAGATAGATGAGGTACATTGCTGAGGGGAGCAGCAGGTCAGGAGAGATCTGCAGCGGCATGTGGATCACCTCCGGACCTCAGGGGCAGGCAGGGATGAACTCAATGCGGAAGTGGCTTTAGCTTCTTAGTGCATTCCTTTAACCCGCTGTGCTACCAGGGAGGGCCCCACCATTTGATTTTAAAGACTAACTTTGACCTCTCTCTCATGTCCAGCTACATATAGATGAATGCAGGTCTGCTCTGTTCATATAAATGTATGGAATCCCCTGTTATCTCAGTTATCCTCCCTTGAACAAATTTCTACTCTGTCGTTTCTCTCAAGGAATCACACTTGGATGATATATTGTATACAGATACACCAGGAATTTAACAGGGCTGATGCTATTTGGCATGTCCTTCCCTGGCTTCTTCCTCAGGATGTATTTAGTTAGTCTTTATATCAAAACATCCAGCATGTCCAACATTCCTAACAAAGAATCTGTGGTAACTCTCAGTTTCCTCCCCTAAGGCATTACGAAGAGTTTAAGACTTTTCATCTTATAAATATGGTATAAACTTTGTCTTCATATGTATTTTTCTCAAACATGTCTAAAATGAATAGAATTGGCACCTTCTTTCAACAGTAATCCAGAGAGTTCACCTTGATCTACAATCCAGAGTAGTATTCAGAAAAACGCAGAACTTTCATGAATTTTGAAGTGTCTATTTCCTAAGTTATTTAAGGACCTTTTAGGTCTTTATGTTTTATATGGTATAGTGTAGGCAATATTATGAAACTTTTTTTTGTCTTGATTTCCGTTTTTTAATTCACAAATGTGCTTATTCCCCTACCACTTGTTTCTTTAGCCATCAAACATGGAAACCTACCTACATGTGCACCACACTTCTCATTTCAACCATCTCTCTTCTCTAAGGCCACTACCCTGAATGTTCTGGAATTCTGCCCCTTTGGTCCTTTCCTCCTCCGTTGAGAACTAGCACAGCTTCTCCTCAGTTGAATCTTTTAAACACTCAAATCTCCACCTGCCCTCCCATATGTTGATACATAACCTTAAGCCCACTGAAAAAAATTTCAAGAGTTGTCAATACTATCTTCATCTGTTGTCTTCCCTTAATTCATGCCTTTCTGGTTTCCCCACCTACCACTCACACAGTGATTTGGCAGACACTTCTCAGTCTTCACCTCAATGACCTCTTGGCAGCACCTAATGCTACTCTTCTCTCTCCCTCCTTGGTTCTGCTAACACTGCTGGCCTAATTTCCTTGTTCTGGTTCTTTCTTGGCCTCTTTTCAAGCTCTGTCTTTACTTAATCATTTAAATTTTTGGAGCTCTGTCTTAAGCATTCTTTTTTCTCAGTATTTTCTCTATAAGTTTTCATCCAACTTAACTCAGTCAACCTTGTATATTCCATTGCCCTCTTGGTGTTCCTACTTAGATATCTTAAATATAATGTAAACACAGAACCCCAAATCTTAATTTTCTATGCAAAATCTACTCCAGAAACCTGAGTCATCCATGTCCTTTTTTTTTGTCGTTTAGTACCCAAAGTTATCCATAAGTAAATCTTGTTAGTATTACTTCCTAAATCTCTTCAGTCCCTCTATTATAGCTCTTCTCCAAAGCATTCTCAGAAATGCAGTCAAAATGATCTTTGGGAGCCACAAAAGAGATCATGTCCTCTCACAGTCCTCCTTATTAAAAGACTTCAGTAAGTTGCCCACTACTTTTATCATAAAAACCCACCTCTTTACCATAGCCAATAGGTCTTTACAACCTGGTGCCTGACCTTTCTCATCATCTCTGTACTCTCAGCACCTTGCTCAGTGCTTGGCAAATGGCAGGAGTTCAATAAATATCTGTCAAAATGAAATGAACTAAGAGTGGCTTCTTAAACAGCACTTAAGCGCTTAGAACATAATTTTCTTTGCTTGCAAAAGAATAGTAAAGTAAATGGTTCAATTACCTGTACATCCCATTCCTCTTCTAAATTCTACAACTTTGACATGTTCTAGGGCAGAACCAAACCAAATTTTAAAACAACAAATGCATCACATTCTGACTTTTCTATTCCCTAAGTCATATTTCCTAAAGCTAGCAGGTATGTCTTCTTTTCTAAGAAAAGCAGACTTGTTTCTAACTATCTTGCCTTTATAATTACATTTTCTGTAAGAATGCTTCTGTTTGAATTGACCTGTTAAAGATCTTTAACCATCCCCACTGAATCTTCCAGGACTCCAGTAATCATCTATAATTCATACAGTTCCTTCTCCAGACTTCATATCTCTGACTCAGTCAGACATTCCAATATGTACACAACATTCCTGATCTCTGAAAATACATCAGCTTGCAAATTCCTACAGGCAATTTCTGGGTCTCAAACTTCCTAAGAATAGCCCACTTCTAAGCTAGTTCATACTAACTTGAAACCCAGAGATGCTGATGGCACCATCCTTCTCTTGAGCAGCTTGCGTATCACTCCAGGTATCTCTTATTTTCTATCAATACATTCGACCTATCATCCATGCATGCATCTGTTGCTTCATGTCCATCTGTTGTTACCCCCTTGTTAGTTCCATGCTTAGCACAAACTTCTAACTAGTTTACTATATCTTGAATTCCCTCTTCCATTCACTACTATCTAACAAATTTTCAAAACCACTGGCCATATTTTACCATTATCCCATATACATTTTTTCATTTTTAATCTTTCCCATAAGATAAAGGTCAAATTCTCCAGTCTGGCATTAAAAGTGTTCCATTTTTCTAACTAGCCTTTATCCATTCAGATCTGTCTTCAACCCTTTCTCAGGAAAAAACCTCTCTACTCAGTTGTCTTCCAGATATGTGCTGTTCACCTCTGTTGTGGTCCACAGTGATCACAGGTTGTTACACCCAGTGTTGGCCTCGTGTTTCAGACCCACTGGCAGCACTCTGGTGGCTCTTCTTCTTTAAGCACTTTACTTGGCTTCCAGAACATTGACATTCTCCTGATTTTATTCTTATCTGAGTTCACTGTTTGTATTTGGCTTTATCTTCCTTACCTCATAATGTTTAAGCTTCCCAAGGTACAGTCCCTAGACCTATTTTTAAATAAAATTTACACTCATTCCCTTGGTGGTGATGTCTGGTTTTGGGACTTTAAATACTTTCATTCAATGGAAATCTAGAGTTAGATAACTGACTGCCTTTTTGTTATGTACATAACTGTGTCTTTAAAAGCCACAAATTAAGAGATCCAAAAACAAGTTCAAAATGTACGGATACCTCTAACCCCACACAAAATATGTTTCACTCAGTTTTCCTTATCAAATGAAACAAACTCCCACCTGCGGCTCTAAGAAGAGACCTTGGAGTAATCCTTTACTCACCTCACATGCCACACTGAATCTATAAGCAAATCTTGTCAGCTCTACTTTTTTTATTATAATCAGAATTTGATAATTTTTCACTACTTTCACTGATCACCATCACCTTTCACTTTCTATACTTAGCTTTCAGGAAACAGTAACCTAGTTATTCTCCCGGCCTCCTTTTCTAAAAAAAATTAAAAACAATTGTTTAGCAAGGTAATGTTGTTTGTAACACTACATATGTTTTAGTGGGATAGGTTAATGGGTGTGACTCTCCACACAAATGTATGTGCTTCCTTGATTCTACTGCCTCCCCTGTAGTCTAGTTTTAACAAAGCTATACTTTAAAAATGGAAGTCATTATGTCACAACTTTGCTCAAAATGTTATTTCACACAGAGTAAAAACTAAAGTCTTTCCAACAGGCCTATATGATCTTGTTCCTTATCCTTTCCCTATCTCCAGCTATATCACATCTTTTATCATTTTTTCCCTTGTTCATCCAGTTCCAACCCCAGTGGCTTCCTACACCATTCCAAGATGCGTCTTCTCTTCCCTGCCTATCTCCTTTATCTTTTCAGTTATGATGCCTCTTACTGGAAATGCTTCTCTAGATTTCTGCATAGTTGTGGATTCACCTCCTTTAAATCCCTTTTCAAATAATACCTTCTCAAAAAGCCCTTCTCGAGCTACTGCCTTTAAAGGTGCAATTCCATTCCAATTTCTTAGCCTGTTCTCTGCTTTATTTTTATTCATTTCATTTTTTTGGGCATTCTTTTTTTTTTTTTTAAGATTTATTTATTTATGCATACAGAACTGGGGTACAGGCCAGAGATGCGGAGGGTGAGAGGCTTCACCAGAGACAGAGTGGGGAACAGAACAGGCAGATCAACAAAGTACACTGCTGAGGGGAGCAGGGCGGGTCAGGAGAGGTCTGCCACGCCATGTGGTCACCTCTGGAGCAGGCGGGAATCGAACTCATGCGGAAGCGGCTTTAAATTCTCAGTGCTGTGCTTTAACCCGCTGCGCCACCAGGGAGGGCCATTTTTGGGCATTCTTAACGTTTTATAATTTTACTTTCTGATTCCTCCCTAGCCCATGGGATCAAGGATTTTTGTCTGTTTTGTTCATTGTTGGATTGCTAGTGTCTACAACAGTCCCTGACACACAGTTGGCACTAAATAAACAAATATGGTAGGAATCTTTACATCTCTGTTCCTGCTATCCTCTGCGCTTGGAATGCCTGC